AGGCCCTAGTGACTGATCCTGAATTCCCCATTGCTTGAATTGGTGGGATTTTTTTTTTTTTTTTTTAATACAATTGATATCAATGCTGCTACTATTGTTATTGATGTTATGATTATTAATGTTATCATTTAAGACAATGAAATAATGCAAAAGACACTTTCCAAAAGTTAAGGAAAGGGATAAACAGGTGAGATAAGTAGAATTAATAACTGACTCCTTGGTGACTAAGCACTTGTAAATATAATAAATAAATTCATATTACAGTGGGCATGGCATGTTTTCTTGCCATCTGTGCCATATAGGTTAATCATGTTTGTTTCATGTAAATATGTATTAATATATGTAATGCTAGCATATTAGATTAGAAAAAACAGAAAAAATCTGCATACATTTGAAGGTATCTTTGAATCTGAAATAAGTTGATGAGCGCAAATGCCTGATGTAGAGAATTGAATGCCACATGTTCACTTATATTATTTGATAAAGATAAAGAAGGTGTAAAATAAAAAAACTCCAGACAAGAATCTGTCATGGAAAATTCAACATGGAATAACACAAACAAACAAGCAAATGAACCCCTTTCTTATTTGGACAAACTACCAGAAAGAGTGACCCATCACCCAAACCCCCTCCCAGTCGCCATACTTCCTTACTTGTGGCACCACCCTTGAATCCCCTTCCAATTAACTGTGCATTTAACCCCATACTGAAGGGCCACACCTTCCGGCGTCATAACAAACTGCTCGATCTGTGAAGTGAAGCTGTACGCCACGGCGACTTGCCAAAACGCTACAAGCCAGGCATTCAGCTTGAGGTAGCGAACTTCCACACTCAAAGTCAGCTCGTTGCCATTAATCTCCAGAGCGTAGAGTTTTTTTTTTATTTTCTTCATCCATCAGTAAGTTTAAAGATACCATTTGGGCTCACCTTATGGTTGATCAACAGTAATGGGAAGGGACCAGTCTGAATCTAGTGTTATAACAGATATCATCAAGATTATAGAAAGAGATCATTTTCATTACAAAGTTGAGAATGAATTCAGAAACAGAAGTAGCAATGAAATAAAACTTCACCTCTGGAACAAGCAAATAAGCCAGGAGAAGGCTACGCATGCACAAGGATAGATGTAACATGTATTTCTAATAAAAATATAGTGTGCATATAATTAAATAGATCACATCATATACCTAAGGAATGAACATTTAATAAATACATATTTTGATATAAATTCATTTAAATCTGAATACAAAAATAGTTGACATTAACCCATTCCCGACGGGCATGCCATGTCATGCCCACTGTGAGATTACTTGTTTGATTGTTTTTACACATAGATGGCTACACTTGTACTAAATCACCAATGAGCCAGTTACAAGTACCGCCTGTCTCGTCCGTTTACCCTTTTCTTTGATTTACAAAATATTTTACATTATCTTATTTTGCTGTTACTAATGTTAAAAAACATTATAAAAATTATAATGTTTATAATAAAAATAACACCATTGATATTCATGGCACTAGTGAAAAATACGTTTTTCCCGCCATTTCAAATTAGGCACTAACAGAGCCATCTATGGACAGACATTTAACAAAAAAATATAGAAAATGGGCACAGCATTTCCCCATTTTTTGTTCATTTTCCCCGGCGGCAATGGGTTAATAGTACAATGCATTTCTAAAAGATTAATAATGCTTGGCCATGGCGTCATGAGCTACATGCAAAGACAGATTATAGTGGGTTACCAAACTGTTAAGTTATTCAATGCAAGGCAAGGGTGGACTTAAATGCTGGAGGTTCATGGGGACTTATCCTTTGCACAGAATTCATTCATTGTTAAACTCAAAATAGTTTAATTTTGATATAAATGAATGTAGTTTTCCATTCCCAACTAGGCTATGACAACCCTTTTACAGGATCAAAAATACCAAAAATAATGCTTTTATAGTCCTACTTAACTGACTCTGACAAAAGTCCCAAATATTTTTTGTTGTGATCAAAACAATGTAGGTAATTTGTAATAATGTGACAAATTTGCTATAATAATCCCTACTGTGTGTGAAGTATCCCTCTATCACTGTCATGTTGATGGCGAACGTCACACATCATCGAGAAAAGTAGGAAAAAAAAAATCCAAACACAGTATCAATGTCATGTAACCTACTAAAATGAATAACAAAAACGAATCCAGTGATAGAAACTTTACATGATACATTTCAACCCCCATAAGTACACTTTAAAAGGACCTTAATAGAGCTCCATTTCCGAGACAGGATGACTCACTGCCACAACACCTGTCGCTAAGCAAGAGCATTAACCCAAACAATTTCCTCCATAAACCACAACGCTCAAGACAAAACAAACTAATTGTCACTCGCTCTTATGCTCTAGTTACTCACCTGCATAATTTCAGTGCCTGGCTGTCAGACGCGACCATTTTCAGGTCGAATTTCACCTGAGCAGTGGCTTTGAGGGGATTCCTGTGAAACCAGTGAGCCATGT